CCTCCTTTTCCTAAGGTATTACCGGCGTTCCGGGTATTATCTAGCCCCCCGGTATGCCATTTTCCTAAGGCCGCCGTTTCCGTTTCCCGGGTTGCGTTATCCGCTTCCCGGGCTATTATTTTCGTTCCCCGGGGTATTATTATTTCCCGGGGCTAGTCCCGATCCTCTTATTAAACCGTAAAGCTTTAAAGCTCCGCGTACGAAGTCGCTATCGGCGCCTGCTAGGTTTAGCCTAGCTCCCGTAGCTACGGGATCGTCGGTCCGTTTACCGCCGTTTAAAGACCCTCGTTTATTTTCCGCTAACGGATCCCGTCGGATCCGTTAGAGGACGTACTAAAGTACGCCGTTTAATTCGTTTAAAGACCATCGTCTATCGTCCGCTAGTAGAGTTTAAAGGGCTCCGCTTAAGGGCGTATTAAGGCGCGCCCTTCCGTTTACTACTAAAAGGCCTAGGGCCTCTCCTACTATTTAAAGGCTAAGGGCCTATCCGTACTACTAGCGGAGCCGCGAGGCTCCGCCGGAGGACGTACTAAGGTATGCCGTCCTTATTCGTTTAAAGACTATCGTTTATCGTCTGCTAGCAGAGCTAAGGGCTCCGCTTAAGGACGCGCGGAGGCGCGCCCTTCCGTCTATTACTAGCGCCGCTAGCGCCTTTATCGATACTAAGAAACCGGTAGTCTTTCCGTAAACCGCTAGTACCTCTAATACCTTTATCGAAGTATTATTATCCTAGCTTAACCTATCGTTTCGTTGCTATTCTAATACCGTTCCTTCCTTATATTACGCCTCGGGCGTTCTTGACTTTCGACGAGCGCTATGCTCTAGCGCTTTACCATCTTTTTCCGGAAAAGATTTTCCGCCGTTTTTAGCCGTATTTTTCGTCGTTTTCATTTTAAAATTACCGTCTAAATCTACGTTTTCTCGGGGTTATCGGTCGTTTCTTCGGTTATCTTATGTCGGTCCTCGTCCGTAGGTATTACTACCGGCGCGTATATCTAAAAGCTAATACCGCCTTTCCGACTACTAGCTTAGCCGGCGTAAACGCTAGCATCGCCTTTCCTACTGCTAATCCCGCGTATTAAGATACTACTACTATCGTCGGTCCTTTTCGTAAGTACTACCGGCGCGTATATCTAAAACTAATACCGCCTTTCCGACTACTAACTTTGCTAGCTACCGCTTCCTTTAGTACTATATCGCCGTTCCTATTGCTAATTCCGCTCGCTTCGATGCTACTACTTCCGTAAAACGATAAAAGAAGGTTAGTCTAGCTTTTTGTTACGGTTTTAAGAGCTATTCGCTAGGTAAAAGCCGTATGTTAATAAACTAAAGCTAGACGGGGAGAAAAAGGAAGAAAGTATGCCTTATGGGCCGTACTTGCGATAGCTAGCCTTATCCGCCGTAGGTACTAAGGGCCTGATTACGTGCTATGCCCTGGCACTAGCCAGGGCCTTACTATGGGCATAGCCTATTATACTATACCACTACATTAATCGTTAATTAAACTAGCTTAGCTTCTATTTAGTAGCGATTAAATAGGTTCAAGATTAATTAGGAATTAGGCATAGTTAGGTATAGTTATAATTACCTACCCTACCACCTACTTATTACTGTTGCAATCGTTCCCAGTTAGCCCTATTTCTTAACTTATCCTGTTAGCCTTTAATTAAACTAACTAACTTTTAATTAATCAGAGTTAATCGAGATTAGGTTAATTAGGATCAATAGGAAGCGAGAGCTACCGTACCTATTATATTAGGAGTTTAATTACTCCTTACGAATTAATTAAATTATAAAGGCTATAGTAATACGGTAGATCTAAACTACGTAGCCTTTTCGATATATATTTATATAGGTCTCGTACTTATATTTTTATTACTTAAACTTAGACCTATAGGCATTACGGCCTTATAACTATTTACTCGTTTCTTACTATACCTTTTCTCGCCATCCTCCTTACCTTTCCTTTCTAGTCCTTCCTCTCCTAACTACCGTTTAACTAGCCGATTAACTGATTATAACTATTTATAGCTATAATCTAGGTTAATCGGCACGAGGCTAGTTATTAGTAGTTAGGTAGCCATTTCGTACCTTTATTACATCGTACCTACGCTACTCCTGTTTAATAGTAAAAATTAAATATATTTTCTTATAGAAAGACTTATAGATGGCAGATTAAAGTAGGTATTAGGACGTTACTATTTAAGAGACCTAGATCAACGAAAGGAAATATACAACCCGTAGCAAAGGGTTTATAAATAAAGCAAACTACTAAAGTTAGGGCTCCATTTACTAATGTACCAAGGTATTTACAGCCCCGTTAAGCAACGTAATAGCTATTATTGCCGCATAGCTAAGAATAAGCGCCTTTCTACTAGTAGCTATCACCAGCGTTCAAATACATACTATTAGTCAACGTAACAATGTATTAATTCAGTGAATTCGTTTCTTTTTTTCCATGACGCGCCTATACCGGCCGCTGGCATGCTTATAAACCTAGGTATAACCAAAATGAAAATTCCTATAACCGCCCATGTACTAATACTGCTATAACTCATGTTATTATCAATTAATGTTTACGTCGCTGGCTCCAGCCTCGTTCGAGTAATCCCAGATCCCACCAGCCTTCTATGACACCCCAGATAGTTTTCCGTTCCGGCTTTGACTTTACCGCCCTGGACGCTTCTACGCCCTCGTCATTAGTAGGGCTTAATGGGATAATATCCTCGTCGCTATATTGAACACTTCCACACTCGGGACCACCCAATTTAGGGACCGGTATGCCAAGAGTATCTCTGACAAGAGGCTTAGCTCGACTAAGCCCAGAGCCGTGGAGCTCGGCACGACACGGGGTGACAGGCGTAAACCCATCCTCGCTCGGTGATGATGGACTTAAAGTAACATAGGGAGCCGCCTTGAATTTAATATGTCCTCGAGAATACGGGCAAACTTTGGGTTTGAAATCGTCCTGGAGAGGATGTGACGAATTGGAGTCAGCGGTTTCTCCTACGGGAAACGCCGCCTTCCTCGGGGGTCCGCATGCGTTAGGATGGGTAACAATAACACGGGGCCCCTCTAGGGACCGCGAGTCTTCGGCAACACGCTTGAATCTAGAGAGCTGGCATTCTGTGGGCGCCGCAGGCATAGGTGGAATATAAATAGTCGGTCCGCAGGCCTTTGAGGCAAGAAGTCGAGTGCCGAGGGCGGTGGGCGCCGACATTTGCTGGGCGTAAGCGATGCGTCCCCCTAACTTATCAACCTGAGCCACATCCACATTGACTTCGGCGCCCGCGCGCCCCTAGCCCTCAAGGTCCTTTGGGGGAGGTGCGGCCATGGACTTAATCCGGCGCCAGAGCCCAACACAGACGATCGTGGAAAAAGCCAATAATACACAGAGGGCGATTCCCAGGCCCCAGACTGCCTTGATTTCATAGCAGTGTGGTTGATCCGTCGTGATCAAGGCTAGGTAATTGCCATATTTCGTAGCCGCGGAGGTGTAGCCGCGAGCCGAGATAGACAGTGTGAACGTCTGCGCAGGCGGGCTAGGCTGGGGAAGTAGCTCGCATCTGAGTGCGGATAGGGGTTTTCCTATCGTAACCGTAACGACGATGGCAGCAATGAGAAGAGCAAGGTCTATCGCGCCTGCGGCTGGAAGGGGTAGAAGACCATCGTAGTATAGAATGTAGGAAATCGATATATAAAGCGTAGCTATGCTTGCCTGTACAACAAGGGTCAGCGAAAATGTAGGAGAGTATGCTGCGAGACATTGGAGCTTACCACCGAGATAGTGCCGACAAGCACATCCGGCATATCGCGCTGCAAGGTTGCGATATCGTTGATGAAGTTGGCAGTGAGTCCGATGATAGCAACGAGGCAGCCAAATTGTAGGATGCGGAGGCCGGTGAAGGTTACGCCTAGGGCGCCGAGCTGCGGAGCCCGGAAATGCATCCTTAGCGGGATGCCCGTTTCGAAGTTGGTTATGAGCGAGAGCTTTGGCCGGGGCCTATCGTGATTGAGGATGGTGCGTATAGGCAGCCGCTGAGGCGGGTAGGGGATAAATGCTGAAGGAGTTTTGAAGTGAATTTTGAAAGAAAGAAAAGGGCCGTGGGACTAGATATAGAACTGCCGCCCTTGAGCTCTAGAGGAGTAAATTGGGGTTTCGCAGAGCAGATCTACTGCAACCAACTCAAAGAAAAAAAATGATGTTAAACCCAGAGAGAGAGAGAGAGAGAGAGAAGTTATATCATAGAGACCAACCGAGGAAACAAGGAAAAGGGAAGAAGAGAAATAGACGTAAGGAAAATTCAGTTATGACAGCGGGGGAAGACTTGGTAGATGGAATGAGAACAGCAGCATTCGCGGGAGAGTTCGTGGGTTAAGTATCCTTTCACGCGTTGATCGGTATCCCGAGTTCCTCTCGACTATTCACTGTTGACACGCGGGTATCGTTTGAGCACTCACGCCGAAAATCATCTATCGTATGTTTGCATGACTATGTCCGGATCGTCACCCCCTCCATCTAGCCACTTTTTCTTCTTCGCATGCATACTGACGGATTTTGATGGAGATGGCGGGAGTCAAGACGCGCCGGCGTATCCAATAGTAGACCGAGTTCCCGTCGCTCTGCTTTTCTACGGCGCAAGCTCACGGTGCGGATAATGGACAATTGCTGTTTCAGGTACCCTCAGCGGACCAATGGGAACCAGATTGACGACGACGGGCCCGGACCGCTGCCACCGAGCCTCGAGGTCGGGGAATTATCGTTGGCCCACGATCCAGATGAGGCGAAATGAGATCTCTGGGCCGGCCATGGGTCATAAGCGCGCACAGCCAGCTCGTTAGCACCCGTAGCCGCCGCCTTGCAAGCACGCTCCAAGCAGTGGACTATTTTTGTTTCGATTGCCGCGTCGAACCGTAGTCCGACCCCGGTACTAACCAGTAGAAAACGGCGGGTAGCATACGAGAATGTAAGCGTCTCTCGTCTCGTGCACTCATGATAGTCGTCTAGACGCATGATTCGGCATTAGCTAGCTAAGCGCATCACCTTTTGGTCGAGACTAGAGACTGGCGCATCATATGAACCCGACTATTGTCAAAATTAGCCCGACGTCAAACTCCCTAAGACGAAGATAATGATCTGCGACAGTGAATTCATTGCACCGAGATGACAGAAAACGAGCAATTTGCAATCCACCGGCGAAGTGGTATCCGGTAGATAGAAATTTAGCATTACGGCAATACGCCCCAAAATTATCCCCGCTGAGTTGTCAGAAACGCAATAATAGCGCAGGGACAATCGGATCTAGTCTATCGCGCTTAGCGACGACGTCGTCCTTACTCGATCGCACCAATACTTCTTGCTCTTGAGCGTATGTTTGCGAATGCGTCTAGTTCGATTCGTCTAGCAGCCAACCTGAAGAAAGACACCTTCACTTTTTCACCCCCAACCATCTACTACCGTCTTGAGGTCCCTAAGCACAAAGCGCAACGGACCAAAATGGCCGGAGCGACTTACAGGGTATCTCGTCTTTCGTCACCATAAAAGTCGTCACCATGAACTCGAACCTAACCATAGCTGAGCTCTGTAGATGTCGCCGCGACTCGTAGCGTTCTTCACCCCAATAAGTCATCGAGGCTACCACTTCCGGCTGTCGAGTTTGCAGGACCGCCGCTCGGCTGGGATCCTAACGATGGTTTTGGTGTACCGACCGCAGGGGCTCCCCAAAGTGAAGCGCTAGTCTTCTCCTTGGCAAGTTGGCCCATCTTAGGGCCAGCAGCGGGCGTGCTGCTCTTCTTAATACCGCCGCCGGCTTGGCCCCATAGATTCGCGAACGGGTCACCGCTGGTGGATAACTTTGTCATAGCCGGGGCTGCCGGCTTATTGAGTGCCGACATCCCAGATGGCGTAGGGGCGGCGGATGTGGACGACGGTCCGGTTGGTTGACCCACCTTGACTGATTGATAATAGTTTGGTGCTGTCGCGTGGTAGCCCGTGGGTAGCTTCGGCGTTTGTCCGGACGCGGAGCCTGTGGGGACGCTGAAAGAAGAGTAATTCGCAGCGGGCGTCGAGGTAGAGCTGCCAGTCGGTGAGATAGACGACATCATATCGCTCAAGTTTGCTTGCTGGGGCGCGGACAAGGGTTGAGGAGCAGCAAATTGGGCGGTAGATTGAGCGCTCGATGTTACGATTGGTGAAGGTATGCCGATATTGTTAGATGGTATAGGCGTTGCCGATTGAAAGTCGTCAAAATCATCGTCATCGTTGTGTGTGGTCGACATGGAGGCTAGGGCAGTCGAGCCGTTCGATGGGGCCGTCGCAGCGTGTGTAGGGTTGGGGTCGTCAAAAGAGAAAAGGTCGACCTCAGGCTCCTTCTTCTTAGATGGCTCCGCCGGAGTGGTTTTCTTGACACCTACTCTCTCGGTCCTCTCAGGTCTCTTGGCCCGAGATGAACTGGACGGCGCAGATCCCTCGTCAAATTCGTCATACTCCTCAAACTTTTCGGGGCGCCCGTGGCCGGTATCCCTCCAGTCATCCGACTGGCCGCCGAAGCCGCCACCATCTCCGTAGACACCACCGGAGTAGCCACCGTATCCAGCGGCGCCGCTGAAGCCACCAGACTCGCTGCCAAAGCCACTATAGCGGCCAGTACTAGAAAAACCCCCCATTGTGCCACCTTCGACACCAGTATACTTGGCTTTGTTGGCTCTAGCCTTTTTCCGCTCCCCCCTAATCCGTTCGACATCGCCCAACAGGTCGGCAAGTTCTTTGGCGCGGTTTCGGACATTGATCCCCTGGTCCTTGCCATTGTTATCAATGTAGTGAAATTGTCGCAGCATTTTGAGGAGGGGGATATGGCCCCGTGCGTCGTCGATGACCCGTTCGGAGCCGTGCTTGATCAAAAATTCGAGGAGTTGAAGCGACTTATAAATCTGCCTCCATTCTTCGGCGGATTTCTCGGTAAATCGTCGATAAATCATGGGCATTATCTCATTAAGGGTTTGGCTGGGTTAGATCTGATTAGTATCACGTAGGCTCAGATGCAAAGCGACGTCGCCGTACTAGTTAAATGTCCCATTGGCAATTTCCTGCATCAAGGTCGAGGATGCGCCCCAGGGTTCATTGTTGGTAGCTTCTCGCACCTGTTGCGCGCGAGTCAGTTCTTCAGTTCACGGGTCGAATAGTATCAGAGCAGCCGACCTTGGCCTCCATCTCGGTATAATTCATCACAGCTAGGGAGTCGACACAATTCAGTATACGAGTACGTCAGGCGGCTTTGTGCGCGAAAGGCCGGGGCGAAACTTACCATTCTGAACTTTACGGACACCCGCCTTCAGGTCATACAGAGTAAGGTTCGTGACCTGGTCCTTGAGGCTGTTGAAATCCATCTTTGGCACAGGTTTCTGGCCCGATCGGGACCGGAAGGAAGAATGGGCAGTTGGGCTTAAGCTTTTTAAGGTAGTATGCGGCTGGTATTTGATGGGGAAGATCTCGAGACTGTGTATGCTTTCCGAGTCTGCTTTGTCTCCGGGGCAGCGTTTCGTCGGTGAGTTGAAAGGAAAAGGTAGGTAGCGCGGAACATTCCATTGAATTGGACCGAAATTTGACACCTGGACCTCCAATCCCGAGACCCCTAACTCTGCCGCAGTGACCACCTATTGATATACCTATATTAAGGAGAGATTATCTAATATCCCCACATGATCTTGACATTTTTTTCTACGTACTGAGTACATAGTACGAAATACGCTGAATGACATTACTCGATGTACCAAAATTAACGTACGCATACCTCGAGTTTAGTATGTCTATATGCAATCGCAGGTCATTTAATTCCCATGAACCACCTATGCGTTATAATAACAATAATGTGTGCAGGAGGTTAGGTAGTTTAGCACCCAGAAGAAGGTAGTCATTCAGCATAGTGGGCTGCTTGTTGGCCCCCGTATTCACTTAACCACCACCCAAGCCCTGACCCACCTATTAGGTTCTAGGAAACCCTCCCGACGTAACATGCCTGGTACATATTATGGTTTAACCCGCAAGCATCACTATAATGAATACCCTAGAGATTTATTTGTACATCATGAGGATGAAATTTTTCTCCGCAAACACGAGATTGGACGTGAATACTCGACTTACCCAGAGCTATAAATTATAATCGCATCGCATATCCCATCTTCCTCACATAACTCAGGAACCGTAATCCCAAAGACCAGACTCTACCGAGCAATTTCCCCTCGAGGTACGTAAAGACCTTTCATATTTGGCACGGGAATCCCATTTTCTGCACCCGGCCAGGAAGGAAGCTCCTCGATCCCAGGTTAAGCTTGCTTGAGAAGTCGGACTCCAATGGCGCGGTCATCGTCTTTGCGGCAGAGCTTAGAATCCGCGCAAGGGACTGCTGCAAATGCCTCCCAATGCGTCCCGCGCAAAGTTGCTCGGAGATCAGTTTATACCAAGCACTCGCCCACCACATCACGCGCCGCTCGAACGATGAATAAATGCAAGGTCAGCCCTTGGACAGGGCCACGTATCGGGCGGTAACTGGAGCACTACGAGCCTTGGGTGCATTTTACTCAAACAAGCAACCTGGGGTAGCTGAAGAAGATCCGGCATGGTTATATCTACCTTTACCTATCGCAATGAGCATGGACGCGGCGTGCTTGTGTATGTTGCATAGATAGACCTCAAGCGAGGTCGTTCAAGTGCCGAAGGCATCCAACGCGACATCGACCGGTCCGGCCTACGAAACTGTACGCCGACAAACACAAGCAACGTCGATATCGAAGAAAGGTCAAGGCAAAGTCTCCCCTCGAATCTGGCATGAGACATGCAGCATAACACCGCGTTTACTGCCTAACCCTAGGCTGTGTTTCCGAGAAGTTTCCCTCGGGGTCAGGTCGGTGACCCTGCTCTGGAGCTTCGGCCTGCGTGGACCGCGGACCGCGGACCGTCGATCACTCTACCCAGCTACCCGTCGATTCTCAAAAATCTACCCCAGATCCAGTTGTGCAAGAGACAAGTGCTCTTCGGTACGCTGGAGCGTGTTGAGCCACTTGATATAGAGGGATCCCTTCGGCAGGATACACCTGGTTACTGCTCCACCTGTTTGTACATACCTCATAACGGGTGGCAGCCGGAGCCTGCCTGCCTACGTGCCGACATTGGTTAGAAGTTGCATCTCCCATATAAGTGGCCTCAACTGAGTTGTTGCATATGGTGACGACAGCGGGCTCCAGTGCCGCTTGGCAACAGCACCTCCCCCCTCTCCCCCCCTTCCATCCGTCCAGGTGGTACCTCTTCCCAACCTTCGATGTACAAACATCACCTAGCGTAACTGCTTAGGCAGGCTGTGTACTCTCCCGATCGCCAGGAGGTTCCTCTCCCGCTGAAAGTGCAGCAACAACCCCACCCTACAGCCCTTCCGAAGGAGCTCTTTTTCCCTCCTGCGTGTGATAATTGGCTAGCAGCTCGAGCTGACCCCTCACTAGAAGATACCATATCCCAATCGATCCAGGTCCACCCGCAATGATGAGACAAACCATCCAACCCCTCCTTCGGCTGCCCCGCGTTGCGTTTTCTTCCTCTTCTTCCATTTCAACCTCGTCCTGTTTCCGGCCTTCCATCTTCCCAAAGGCATCATCCACATTCATTTCATCACCTCCAGCAAGCCAATCGTCCTTCCGGTTCTTTTCGGCATCAACCGTCAACATGGGTGACAAGACCAAGAGGATCAAGGTGTAAGCTCTCTCCCCTCTTCCCCTATAACCTTTAACCCTATCCGCTGCAAAGCTAGAGATCTGTCTTACTGACCGCTCTAGGTTCTTCGACATGGAGTGGGAAGGCCCTGTTATGGACAACGGCCGCCCTACCAACACCGTGAAGGGTACGTTTAAACCCCTTCCCACCCCTCTCCCCCTCCCTAAAGTAGCCGTACCCTTTTTACAATTGTATCATTATCCCTAGCTTGACCTACGTCGAAGCCATCTTTGCTAGAGTTGCCCTTATCCTGGCAACGAGATTGGTTCTCTGCTTATGGCCCTTTCTTATCCCTCCCTCCACCTTTTCGTCCCGGGAAGCCCGATAGTGGAAACTAGCTCACAATAAGCCTTTCTGTGTAGGCCAGTCCGGTCGCATCAACTTCGAGCTCTGGGGGGACCTGGTGCCTAAGACTGTCGAGAACTTCCGCGCCCTCTGCACTGGTGAGAAGGGCTTCGGCTACAAGGGCTCCTCTTTCCACCGCATCATCCCTGAGTTCATGCTCCAAGGTGGCGACTTTACCCGTGGTAATGTCCGTGATTCCTCCCGCTTCCCCCAGTTAAACACTCGTGCGGTTGTTACTCACAGAATCTCGATGACAGGGCACCGGTGGGAAGTCAATCTATGGAGAGAGGTTTCCCGACGAGAACCTTGAGATTAAGCACTCGGAGAAATACATGCTGTCTATGGCTAACGCCGGCCCCAACACGTAAGTACCTACCAAGCTGACCCCTTCGCTCTATGCATGAGATATTTTTGCTCACACATTTGGCCCCCGACAGGAACGGCTCCCAATTCTTCATCACCACCGTCGTGACGAACTGGCTCGATGGCCGCCACGTCCCTTTCGGTCTTGTCTTAGACGACGGCTCGAGGGCCGTTGTCAAGGCCATCGAGGCCACTGGCTCTCAGGCCGGTGCTATCAAATATTCCAAGCGACCTACCATCGTCAATTGCGGCCAACTCTGAGGGAACATTGCACCCTGCATATCCCTACTGCGCGTGCGGCAGTCTATTTCGCACAGGCCGCGATGTTATTAGCCGATGTATAAGGGCAGGAAATGTGATGAACTGGACTAAACTGGCTGGAATGGCAAAACAGTTACACCGTTAGGTAGCTACGAAATAAATTTCTTAGTTTTCGGGCCAGCCGCTGCGGCGTTTAAGAGTATAGGCATAGTCTACTACTACTACTCGAACGTGACTCTCGAGATACTACGATGTGCACACCAGCAGCTTGACATGTGTCTATTTTCCTGCATCATGTAATGATTTATATATCGCATCCTATTACGCTATAGCCGTGAAATAGGTCGGTACGTTATACGATTTTTACCTAGCAAGATATCACGCCAGTTACCTAGGTAGAATCGTGGAGAGGCTACGATAGCCATTGGTTGAAGTACTCGCAGCCGCCGGCCCAGACAGGCCCACCCTCCTCGCAGAGTTCAAAGACGGGGCATTTGCCACAAGGCACAGTGGTTAAACCATTAGTCTGTGGATCCCAGAAGTCCTCGCTGTCTAGCTGCGTGTCTTCTGGGTTGTGTTTGGAAATACGCACAGCCCGGTAGCCGACCCGATCGCCCATCTTAACCTCCTCGATCCTGTTCTCCCAAACGAGGATATCTATTAGCTCCTGGACGTGGCTCGCCTCCAGCGGCTGGCCCTTTGCTACTTGCAATTGATCGATTGACGCGGCTATCTCTTGCACAGTTGGGTAGCCGGTGTAACCTGCAGGCAAGGGTAGCCGGACGGCCTTTCGGATCTTCGACGTTGACACCAGAGCATCGTCTTTGGATATGGCATCAGCGGATCGCTTCTTACTCTTGATCGCAGCCTCCGATAGTCCACCCTTTATTACACCCTTCTTTGGTAGGACGGGGCTGACGCCGCGTGCGTGCCGTTCCCCAGTGCTCTTGTAGCTACCCTTCTCCTTCACAATTCCTAGCACTACTGATTGCAAAGCATCGATGAAGGCCTCGTCGAGATATTGGTCGGTATACCAGGGACCTCCCGTAGCGCGGGCCGAGGGCTGCAAGCTGAATTTGATCCACATCTTCTTGGAAGCATTTTCGACATTGGTGAACTGCCGCACGAGGCGCTTCGTCTCTAGTTCTTTGAGAGCCTTCCGCAGCGCGTTATCCTGGATGTTGAGACGCTTCTTAATGTCTTGCTGCCACGCCCCCTCAGGGCCAGCTGAATCGATAATCTCGTAGGCTAGGATCTGGTCTTCGGTAGCGAGAAGCTTGTACCTACAAAAAAAAAAAAGATCTGCTGTCAGCCTTGCACTACAATAGGGGGGTTTGCAGGTAAAGAGACCCAGATCAGGAGAGGGCGAGGACGACGGCGGTGTTACTTACTTGGCTGCCTCGGCTTCGGGGCGGATTCTCCATGCCAGTCCGCTGTGGAAGTGGACGGGGGAAAAGAGGCGCTCCTTGGTCAACAGCTGGATGATTTGCAACAGCTTCTTCACATCCTTAGGCGCGACGACGCCCAGGCCCATCAAGTCGTCCTGGGAGAATAGTCTATCGGGATCTTCGCCGCAGGCATCCTCACATGCGGCGTAGAGCTGGTCCTTGAGAATCGATGTTTCGTCGTCCATGTCGAAGACTCGTTACAGGATGGTTAATGATAGGGGTGGGGAGGTGTGGGGTCTAGACGACGTGTGCGGTCCGGAGATGTAGATCGAAGTAGAGTCGAGGTGATAGACATGAGCGAGGCGATGTGTCACGAGATGAAAGGTTCGGCGGTCAAAGCTGCGAACTACCTTCTCTATTTCATACTAACGCTTTTTTATAAACGTGCTTCAAGGTCGTGTTGACGGACACCTACCTCCTTGTGGCAGCTGTAGTGTTCTTATCGGCGACTATATTCTTATCGATAACCCGCAGCTATCGATAGATAGGTTGGTAGGTTATTCAATGCTGTTTCCTCTTCCACCCACCCACCTGGACGAGGTATCTATGTACCCACCTATACAACCCCACCGTGGAAAGCTCTCGAATTTGATTCTCTAGTATTCAGCCCTAAGGGAAACATCTTAAAAAGGTCCTTCATCCCACGACCTTCCTCACTGTTTCCGCTACTGGCGCTCACTGCCTCACCACGCTATCATTTTCCAAATCCCTCTCACATCCGATATACAAGCCTCATCCCAAGCCGCTGGAACAGTATCGTATTTCCGCCTGCCATGGCCTCCGTGGACGAGCTTAAAGCTCTTGGCAACCAGGCTATCGCCGACAAGAACTTCGACGAGGCTGTGTAAGCAGATACGATCAAACCCAACTCCACTTCCTACCCAACACTCGATAGGGTTCTGGCTAACATAACAGTTGATTCTTAGTGACGCCTTCACCAAGGCCATCGCTTTAGATCCGACAAATCACATCTTATACAGCAATCGTTCCGCCGCGTTTGCATCCAAGAAGGACTGGGCCAGCGCCCTAAAAGATGCTGAGAAGACCACCGAGCTCAAGCCGGATTGGCCCAGGGGTTGGGGACGAAAGGGCGCCGCTCTACATGGCTCGGGTGACCTATTAGGTGCACATGACGCCTACGAGGAAGGTCTCAAGCACGACCCAAATAATGCCGGCCTCAAGAACTCCCTCGCCTCCGTTCAGAGAGCCATGGAGCAGGATGCCGGTGCTGGCCTGGGCGCTGACCCTACCGGGGGACTCGGCAAGATGTTTAACGACCCCAGTCTCCTCCAGAAACTGATGAACAACCCAAAGACCAGCAGTTACTTAGCCGACCCCTCCTTCGTCGCTAAGCTCCAAGCCATACAGAAGAATCCTCAGAATACCCAAGAATTATTCAGCGACCCCAGAATGATCCAGGTCCTAGGAGTACTGATGGGTATTGACATGCAGATGGGGATGCCAGATGACATTCCAAGTGCTCCGGCCCCCGCCGCCTCCCGTGCCGAGGTAGAAGAGGACGTAGATATGCCGGATTCGGTGCCGGACAATTCCAAACAAGCCCAGCCCGCTCCTGAGCCCGAACCCGAGCCGGAGCTCGAAGAGGAGCTCGAGAAAAAGAAATTAAAAGAAGAGGCTGACAAGGAGAAGGCATTGGGTACCGAAAACTACAAGAAACGCAACTTTGACGAGGCCATCAAACACTATAGCAAGGCCTGGGACCTGTTCAAGGATATCACCTATCTCAACAATCTCGGGGCTGCTCACTTCGAGAAGGGTGACTATCAGGCCTGCGTTGAAGCCTGCACCAAGGCCGTCGAAGAGGGTCGTATGATCTACGCGGATTTCAAGATGATTGCGAAATCGTACGCCCGCATAGGTTCGGCCTATGAGAAGCTAGGAAACCTCCCGTTAGCCATCGAGAACTACCAGAAGTCATTGACCGAGCATCGAACACCTGATACCGTTAACAAGCTTCGGGCGGCTGAGCGCCGGAATATCGAAGAGTCGAAGCAGGCATATATCGATCCAGCAAAGGCCGAAGAAGCTCGCGAAGAGGGTAACAAGAAATTCAAGGACCAGGACTTCCCGGGCGCCGTTGCCGCTTACTCGGAAATGATCAAACGCGCACCAGACGACGCTCGAGGGTACAGCAACCGTGCGGCCGCCTTTGTCAAGTTATTTGAGTTCCCTAGTGCCCTCGACGACTGCAATACGGCCATCAAGAAGGACCCCAAGTTCATCAGGGCGTATATCCGGAAAGCACAGATTTACTTTGGCATGCGCGAGTATTCTAAGTGCATTGACGCCTGCAACGATGCGACTACGGTGGATAGCGAGCACTATAACGGCGCGAACGCGCGGGAGATCGACCAGCAACAGCAGAATGCTTTACAAGCCATGTATTCCGCTAGAGAGAACGAGACGGAGGAACAGACTCGTGACCGATTGTCAAAGGACCCGGAGGTGAGTACAGGCTCAGCATCTAGCGCCTCGTGCCGTGATGCGGGTAGACTAACCCCTGCGCGATCTAGATTATGAGTATCATGCAGGATCCCGTTATGCAATCCATCCTTCAGCAGGCTCAGTCTGACCCTGCGGCGCTCCAAGAGCATATGCGCAACCCAAGCGTGCGCTCCAACATCCAGAAGCTGATAGCAGCCGGCGTAATTCGCCTCGGGCGATGACTTACCTACATCGCAAGGACCGCGTCCAGGATTTTCTATTGGTACCCTAGCGCGCTGGATCGGGCAAAGAGCATGTGTATACTACTCGTATTCTAATAGGTCACTGACGAGGTAGGCGTTGAAAACCCGCGCGGGTGGATCATGTAGGTAGTTCACGAAGATGAACGAATCCATCTTAATTCCCAGCGTTCAAGCGCGTTGTGCTCTTCGCTTCTCTCTAACTCAAGAGATGAAAACTGTAGCGAGCATGTCCTCGGTTCTCTAGAAAATTCTTCACATGTATAGATATGTGTCAGTCGAAGTTGAAACTACCCTTTAATCTGTGTGCATCATCGAAAATCCCAACCGGTTATCAGAATCTAAGTGCGTCGTTGTTCTATGTTTTCGTTACTCGTAAAAGTAATTAGCACCTCTGCACTCTCTCTTCATCCTGACCGTCCGCCTACATATGATATATAATATGGATGGTATGCTGTCCGTGATTTTACCGGCTACATATCTGCGCCAACCAAGGAACAATTCACTTTCCCTTTCACACCACACGGACTACCCTCAAATTTTATGGTATCAGTAAACTATAGGCACATGCTTCCAATCGGAACCTCGGCAGATATAATCCCACGGCGGGTTTGCGGGCTTGTATACCGGCATCGTCGTCATTTCGCTCGAGGAACTACGGCGTGCCAGCGACCGACCTCTGATCCAACATTAGAAGAGGGCCATCATGGCGGCGACGGTTCTTTACAAGCAGTTGACGCCTCCGTTATCTCAACGAGCCACCACAGGGCCTACGCCGTCTCGTAGTTTCGACCTACTTTCTGGCGACGGCCGATCCGCGCCCCACCACACACGCTCTGTCTTCAGCCTACTGGATTGTACTAGAAAGGGAATGGGGACGTCACAAGCCGCGCAGAAAATACTAAGCAAGGCTCTCTATGTGCCTCATTCGGGGATATGACATGCAACCTCCACGAGACGAGGTGGCCCCATATTACTAGACATCCGAGAGCTCGAGGCTACTTAGGATCGCTGTACCATAGTCACCTGGGCCGTCAAAGAAGAAATCCCGATCGAGGCCCAGTCCTTCGAATACATCATTGGCCCACGAAGCACCCGGGAGACGTTCTTCTCGTGAGAATGATATTGGAGGGTCGGAATCCACCCCAACCTCCCTCAACCAGTTTCTTCTTTCCGTGCCCTCACTGCCTCGGTTCGGCCGGCGTGGGTTGTCATTGTCCGTCGATGAGGGCTTCCGACCTAATGAGCTCTCACCACCCACAGACGCCACCATTTCGGCCCATCTCTCCAACTTGTAGCCTGTGGCCTTGATCTTCCTCGCCGCCATATCCCAAATATCATTCTCCCACATCTCGCCCTCCCCCGCGACGACATGACGAGCTTGCTCAAACCTCGTCGCCATGGCCTGAAGGATATCTCGAACATCAATCTGAACCTCGGGCTGCGATAGAAAATAAGACCTAATAACATTGATCGTCACTGGGATCATGGGGTCTATGTCGTTGGCCCCAAGGGTGGGAGCCGTGCCTGCGGTGGTGTTTTCCGGCGCAGCCTGTGCCACGGTGGGAGCTGTCATAGAAGCCACACCTGGAGTGTGGTGAGCGCCAGGACCCGACAGTTTAGCCCACCGAGCCAGCATCATGACAGCGGTGATCAGATGAGCAGACACTGACATGGGCAGGAGAAAATAATATCCGACGTCGACGGAGAGCCAGTAATCGAACCAGGTCCTAAGAGCAGCGCTAGATCGATAGAATATATCTAGGAAAGAAGATGCGGAATCGAGGCACAGAGACGTTAGAGAGTTGGATACTTTCTCCAGAAGCTCCGCGTCGATCCTAGGCGGCTCGCACAAACGTAAACTTGCGGTGTTGAGGTGGCCCATGATAAGCACTGCCGTTCGTCTTAGTCGGCGGTATTTTCTAAGGGATGTTTCAGAAACGACTAACCATTTGACTTGAGATGCTGAGGCACCGAGGCTCTAACCTGCTCGAGCTCCGCATGGAACAACACGGCGTGAGCACTGATAGGCGCGTGCGCGATTCCCGTCGGGCCATCGTTACCCCATCTGTTGTTATATAACTGGGAAATTCGTTCCGAGAGATGCTGGATACGGACCAGGTGGACCAAGAGCGAGTCGGTTTCGTACTCATTATCGGCTTCGAGATCTCCAACGCACCTCTCGATGTAAGTAGTGTACTTAGGGGAGTCGGTTCGCTGAAATGTGAGCGAGTTGCTAGTTCGAATGAGCACTCCCCACCAACCACCGTAATTGTGTGTTTACACAACAGCATAACCACCACTCACAGAGAAGTTATATACCAGACGCCGCAAAGCGCCCGCCGCTCGTCATTCGTCCTAGCTTCGGGATTCTCGGGATCTGTCGCTAGTAGCTTTGTCCTTTCCTGAAGATCGGGGGGTTTATTGATGCAGAGATCCGCCACCATGCTATTGGCTAATGCGATGAGATTGTTCATCTGTGCATGTATCATGCAATGGTAGTGGTAATATCCTAGTATGAGAAGGATCGCTTGTAGCATCTCTAGGGATTTCTCCGAACGCATCAGCATGTGCTCGGATATGTGTCTCATCATGAAGTAGTTTTGGGATCTCATCGACTTGAGATTCCGGTATGAGGCGACCATACGGATCGCCGCGAATAGGAAAGGTTTCTTGGATGAGAGTTCGAGCGCGGTGGTACCGAGCGGAATCACGACGAATGGGTAATGGGGCATCAGCTTGGTAACGAAAGTCGACAGTAAGGCGTCATCTGGCTCGAGGGGAACTGGCACCTCGCCTGCTTGGGCACGGCAAACACATACGCGAGGGGCATGCTCGTTGTAAGAGTCGGGTATCATGTATGGCGATCCATGATCCATTTCTTGTGTTGGGGATTCAGTGCCAACGCCTACTTGTTCTTCACGCTGTGATCCTCGCAACGCCCCGGGCCCTTTAAGGGGGGGGGTGAGTTGTCTGCTTTCCAGGGCATTTCTCAGCGGGGTTGGGATATCCCTTGAGTCGGCGACTTTCAAGAAATCTACTAGGCTGTTAAGTCTCTCTTCCAGCTGCGCCGTCTTCCTATGGCGCACAACAACGTAGTCAGCCCAAGTCCGTAGACTTTGGAGCGTATAATAATAATCCCGTGGGTAAATGAAATAGACCCCAGGTACCCACACTCATTTTCATAGTTGGGGGACAGATACTTACGAAGGTCTGCTTTGTCGTTTCTTTCTCGGTTTGTGAATCTGGTTAAGGCAATCCTTGCCTAATCGTGTGCATCTGTATCCCGAGTAAATATACCAATTAGTAAGTGAGAAGACCGGGAGAATAGTTGGGGAGATACTGACCTTTCACATCTGGACCCGACTGCTCCACCTGGCCGCAAGCATTTCGCCTTAGCAAGGGCACACGGAGAACAGGCAACCCCCCATTTAGAGATGGTGGCGGTATTCTTCGATTTGTCCATCAGTGGCATTTTCACATGTCCCGAAGTGTGAGCTCGAGTACCAACTACGATTCTCCTAATCGCCGGCGGACTTTCGTAGTCGTGGCCGTGGGTGAACTGTGAACCCTCGAGAAGGAGACACACGGGGAATAGGACGGAGGTTTGAGACAATCCCCGGGCTCCGTCAGATCATAGGAGGAGGCTGAGATCATGCCACCAAAGTGGGACCCTTCTCGAGGTCTCAAATCGGCCCGGGGGGGAGGGGGGTTGCATCGTGGCTTGTCGCCGCCTATGGCTATATGGGTAGGTAGTCCGACCCGGTGTTTAAAGATAAAGCCCGAAGGCCAAGAGCATGGCGTCGGTTCGTGACTTGCACGCCTACCTCAGCCTAGCATATGCAATTCTGCGATGCGAATCCAAAATTACGAAGACAATGAACATGGGAATAAGAACAACGATGTTTAGCAGACGCGTAGATGCACACGTCTTCTGATAGGTAGCTGCTAGGGTTGTCACCCGAGTCCTGTTTGACGGCATTGCGCTGAGAACGGTGAGGGGCAACCATCAAGCGTTCTGCCAATTCCCACGATGTTCGCGATAATAACGTTATGGTTCCTTTCGTAGGGAAGCTGTGCGAGATCTTCGAGTTCCGACTCCTATTTACCGCTTATGATCGTCTTCTAGTTGATTCCCGCACTATCGACGTCTTACACGATGCTCGTCGTCGCAAGGGCCAGCAGTGATGTCCGGATTCCGACGCGCCTAAGCAGCACCCACAACAATTGTCGAGGTCATTTCTGTGACGAGACGGGTGAGGAAACGGAGGTGTTGAGATAACATAGGTAATTTACCATCTCGTGGTGACTGAGAGCCATCTGCACTATATACATCCTATTTTTCAATGGCAAGAAGGTAGGCGACCCAAGCTTATCAGGAGTTGCTAAGACCACGTCTACCAACACGGACGTCCCGCAAAAGATTTGTCACGAACACAAGGGAAAATAAAAAAGGTTTACTCCGTTCGATTGTTTTCGGGGGTAAGGGGGACAGGGAGAACGCGTATCCGACGCGTAGCCACCGGCCCCTAACACCGGTTGAATTCGCGATTACTCTGCCTCCATAAGTTCTGATTTTGAGCCGCTCCCAAGTGCGGCAATACCCTGATCTCTAAGTATTCCTCCAAGAAACGACGAGACTGATACTTAATGCATGTGAACAGCTCGCGTACGCGAACAGCCGCTAACTCAGACAATCCATTTTATTTATGGAACATGGCAGCATTATGTAAATTTACCCTAGTGATTAGCGTAACAGCGAGGGACCCAACGTACTCAGCGGGGTTTCGCAACACTTGAGGCGACGATATCGTGATATTCCGCACATCTCAGAGTGGGAAAAGAGGATAAGAAACGTCACCGTCAATCCACCCCCCTCGATAATGCTAGGTGGAGGACTCTACCTACTACGTAGCATACAGGTACGCGGAAAGCTTGCGCTCACCAGCGTACGTCGATTCGGGCACATTGTCTAGTTGCCTAGATTCCCTGAGCAGATATCAATGCCTACTTAGCTAGGTGCGTAGACACTGACGAATCTGCCGAGTGCATTCCGGGTACGCGAACAGATGGGTTGTCAACATTGAGCTAACCGGTCCAGGCCGAAGTAATCTGAGTTCCTCTCCTTCAATCGCTGTCGTCGGAACTCCCGTCGTTGCCGTCGCATACTATGAACGAGTTTGATTTTATCATCGTCGGGGCTGGGCTCTCTGGAATCGACGCCGCGTACCGCCTGAAAACACGGTTGCCAGGATGCGCATACGTCATCCTCGAGGCGCGAGACGAGATCGGCGGCACTTGGTCCTTCTTTCGCTTCCCTGGGATCAGGTCCGACTCCGACCTCACCTTATTTGGCCTTCCGTGGCGGCCGTGGATACATGAGAAGAGCATGGCCGATGGCCACCTCATCCGGGAGTACATCGAGGACGCGGCGCGGGCGGAGGGCATCGACAAGAAGATCTGGTTCGGGCACCGCGTTACCGGAATGAGTTGGTCATCCGAGGAGCAGCGCTGGACTCTGGCTGTCCGCGCGGGTGATGTTATCAAGCAATTCGGAGCGAAATTCGTGCTCTCCTGCTCCGGATACTACGACTACACCAAACCCCTGCAGGCCGACATACCAGGCATAGACAAATTTCAGGGCACCGTCGCCCACCCGCAATTCTGGCCGCCTGATCTCGATTACACGAACAAAAAGGTCATTATCATCGGATCTGGCGCCACCGCGATTACCATGCTGCCAGCTATGGCCGAAGTGGCAAGCCGCGTCACAATGCTCCAACGGAGCCCCTCCTACGTCTTCAGCCTTCCCTCGGTTGACTCGGTCCATGCATGGCTCATGGCTCATCTGCCAGAACGGATCGCTCACTCAATCAACTGGTGGCGGTCCGTCCAACGCCCACCCCCCAGCCTGCTTCTAGATGGCACCCGTTATCGAGAGGGGCAACGCTAACCGGCACACGGCCGCATAGGTGTCTCATCCAGGAGCATATCTTCGTCTTCTTCAACCTGTTATTTCCGGTCCCGGCCAGGAAGCTTCTCATGTATTTGATGCAGAGGCAACTGCCGGGCACCGTTCCCGTCAGCGTCCACTTCAATCCGAGATATAACCCGTTCGAGCAGCGGTTGTGTCTGTGCCCGGACGGAAACTTCTTCAATGCCCTGCACCGCGACAACTGTGACGTCGTCACCGACCAGATCGAGACGGTGACGGCGGATGGCATCCTAACCAAGTCGGGAGCGGAGCTGGAGGCGGATATAATTGTGACAGCGACCGGCCTTTGTAAGAGGGAGCCCGGCTCGACCCCCTCCCCCCCCCCGCCAACTTTCACGATAAACCTCTGGTACGTTTGCTAACTCATAACTACGCGTAGACCTGCATCTTCTTGGAGGCGTTACTCCCGTCGTTGACGGACGGGCGGTCGACGTAGGGACCTGCTATGCCTGGCGTGGCGTCATGCTCTCCGGTGTACCGAATGCAGGGGCCGTGATAGGGTATACCCTAGGCACCTGGACGCTCGGGGCCGACGCCAGCGTCAAGCTGCTCATCAAGATCTGGAAGTACATGAAGAAGATCGGCGCTACGTCGGTCACGCCGACTCGGGACCAGGACGACGCGACGCCGTCCCAACCGGTCCTGTCTCATAGTTCCACCTACTTCGTTGCCGCACGAGATCGACTGCCCAGGGTCACGGGCGAATCGCCGGTAAGTTCCGTCGGTGGTCCCGGGCCCCTCGGTGACCTTCTTCCATTTCCCACATGGGCCTCTTCTGCATCTCTCGTCGGCCTCTCTCTGCTTTTGTCTAGGAGTCGGCTAGGGGGTAATGATCACGCCCCCGTAACTTGGCCAACCGTGTGCTGACCGATTTTCTTCGGAATTCAAGTGGTACGGGCGTAAAAACGTGCTCTACGATCACCTAAAGTTATGGTTCGGGAGTCTCACGAAAGGGATGGAATATACCATCCCGTCGCGGAAGGACCAATAGATGTAAGTACCTAGGGGTTTCATGCTAAACACAACGACAGCGAGTCTTGGATACCTACCTACCTTCCGTTGAGGCTGGTTCAGTATATGGAATGTTGGTGTGGACTACGTTCCCCCTTCTTATGAAACGGCAGGCTTTTGTGGACGTGGGTACTTAGCTCAATGATGTATTTTGCTTCAGCGTTTCGGGGTATGTCCGTACTACGTTACTGTACCAAGGGGGGGTTACCTTTAGTAGATCAGGCACCTAAGGCACATACTCACAGCGTCTAACCGAATCCATGCCCGATTACGTAATATGCAAGTCGAGTCTCCCTGGGTCGGCGATATCCTGATAGGTGTGAGTCCGTAGGTTAGCACCACCAATTCCCGCACCTGTGTATCCTGGTCCATAACGTAGGTAGGTATCCTATGCTATCTTGATGGCTTGACGCCCTACGTCTGTTCCGTTTCGTCTCGTCCAACAACGCGCCGTCCTGTTTCGCCCATTATCAGCGGAGAGAACCCACCCCAGCGCGCTCCGCCAAAGGATGACTGACACCTTCAGGCCAGCGCTTATAGTAGTGGACCTTCAGGAGGATTTTTGCCCCCCGGTGAGCGGTGCACCCTGTCAACGGACATTGCGGGACTAACAACGACCAGAATGGCTCGCTTGCCGTCGCCAACGGGCGTGATATCACGCCATTCATCAATAAACTCCTAGCCCTGCCTTTCATCACCAAAATCGCAACCAAAGACTGGCACCCGCGTGACCACGTCTCCTTCGCTACGAACCACGAAGGCAAAACACCCTTCACAGATTTCGTCACAATCTCCAACCCGTATAACGAGTCTGAGAGGTATGAGACAAGGCTTTGGCCGGTCCACTGCGTTCAGGGTACCCGGGGAGCGGAGCTATTGCCTGAGCTACACACCCACCAACTCAACCAGATCCTTGAGAAAGGGACGGATCCCCGCATCGAGATGTACAGTCCGTTCTACGACCCCTTTACGTCCCCGCGCGTTTGCGACAGCGGCTTAGCCCAGACCTTACGAGAGAAGCAAATCACGCACGTGTACGTGGTAGGGTTAGCGGCGGATTACTGTGTCAAAAATGCGGCGATCGATGCTACCAAGGAAGGATTCGAGACCTATCTTATCGAGGAGTGCACCAGGGCAGTTGATACGCCAGGTTGGCCGGAATGTAAGAGAAATATCGAAGCATCTGGCGCCAAAGTTGTCAGCATGCATGGACCCGAAGTTCGACGGCTGGGCCCGGGTCTGTAGCGGGCTAACCCGAAATAGAACCGAGAGTCCACAGAGAGGGAGAGAGAGAGAAGAAGAATGACGGGTAGAACCAGCGATGTACGGGAGGTAATATCTTGGATGCTCGTTCAGCAACTGATCCCTGTCCTTCTCGCTTTTTGGGCTGTGGTTTTCCGCCATTGTGGTACTACACGGTACATGCCTATATGTACCTACCACTCAGCAAAGTAAGACTTTCAGCAAGCCACCACGGATGGTTTGGATACAACACCTAGTATATCTTCGAGCCGATGGGGGAAATTCTTCGTGTGCGACCCTCAACCTTTTTTTGAAAACAAAGAAAAAAGACAGTCCTTTTTTTCACGTCTCAGCATGAATTGGTTCGGTTGAATGGAATTGGGGAGATGTCCGTCCACCTGGCCCCCCACCCACAGGTTGATGGATCCCAACTTCATATGCACAAGATGATACCTATATCTTGGCATCATTTGAAGCTGGATATGCACTACGTAGGTAGGCACGAACTTCTTCATCCTGCGTGACAGCGTGAGGCCCTGCGGGTACAGCTATTACCCGTAGTAGGCATACAGGTAACATGCGCGCATCCAGCTAAGAATGCAGATAGCATCTTGGGTTCCTTCGTACATAGCCTCGGTGGGTTTCCATATAGGCAGATTCAACTTGTCATCCGTACATAGGTCACTAGCTCTGCGCGGCATCGGATTCCCATAACCCTACGCTGATGTATTCGGTGGAGCACCTATGGAAACGTAGAAGGATCCCTACCCTGAGCAGGTGGTGGCCTACATTAGGCGTGATATCCGCTGGCAGGAAGTGGTGTTTGGAGTCTTACATGCACGGTTACCTCCAACAATGGCCAAAGGTGATCCAAACAACCACAATACTGCCTATCTCCTCTGCGGAGTTAAAAGGTCAATTAAGGTACATTACCTGACAACCTGTGCGGCCTTGAATTGGTGAAAGACATCCACATCACAAGATACCTTCAGGACCACATACACATACATAGGTAGGTGGGTAGGTACCTGACTTAATAGGAGGTATACATTAGGAGCATATCCGTACCTACAGGTAGTATGTACCTGTCAGTATACAAGTAAGCTTATCGGAGCAGTCCCGGCTGCTACCCAAGACCTAGTAATAGGTACCTACCTAACCTACCGGGTACCTGAGGCAGGCACCTAGGGCAGGTAAATACCTAGGTACGTAATAGCAATGGAAGGTAGGAGAAAACTGACCCTTGACGTACCTTGGGAAGAGTTGAACCTGGGATCCTTTTAGTGGAATCTACTAGGCACATGTTGTTTATAGGTAGATGATACACGCTAAATGTACTATATATGAGGCAAATTACACATATATACATGTATATAATACATAGCGTCCTTATGTACCTATGTAGCACTTACCCATTCCTTAAGAATGAGAGTTCCAAGGTAGGTGCTAGTACGTCCTAGTTCAGAGGTTAGTCCTTAACTTGCGAGCAGCAGAGTGGGTCCATCAAAATTTTAGCGTTCTAACTTATCAAAGATAAGCTGTGTCTGGTCCGTCCAGCAGGGAACCTTGAAATTTCCAATATCCCCATCCACACCACCGGCATCTATTCACCGATCAATCTCCACCCCTTTTTTGTTGTTATTCTTCCCAACTCAACATTCCCTCCCTTAATTACAACCGCCCTCCATCCAGCCTGTGGCATCTGGCGAGTCCAACAAGTTGACAGTCTGACAACTCGCCAATTCCCCTCTGGCCTACTTCTGTTAGCGTCGGAGAGAACATAGCTCACAGGATCGCCCACATTTGAGAGCGCGCGCACACAACACACGCACACAACACACACACACACACACTTTGGCCCGAAACCTAGTTTACCCTCGTCACACTTCTCGTTCATTGTTATAAGTTAACTAACACATTTATTAATCCCACCCATTCTCTCCCCTGCCAGTGGCGATTGGTTTCGAATATGCCTATTGTTAGCGGCTCTAAGTCAAGACTACGCAGTCCATCCAGTTAAGGGTAGGAGGTCTTTATAACTATAGGTATGGAGGTCTCCCTGTGTCAGCTTGTCAGCTTATAAGCTGAGTCACTTTTGCCCCTACCCCTCCTCCATAAGACCGAACCCGGTATTTCAATTACCTAGAGACAGAAGCACCAGCTAATTCTATATATCTCTCACTCCTCTTCGTCTTAGCGGCCAGGAGTAGTTGCCAACGATCGCCAATGCCTTCACGGTAGTGTCGACATGATTGCCTCTTCACTTCTTCCCTCCCGCTTTCGCGGCGAGCAACCGAATAACGCTCCCGCTCCGCCGTCCAAGTTAAACCAGAGAGTTACACCGGCCCTCCAATTCGTCTCCAAGATTACCTGTTTACATCCGATACATACTATTGTCCTCGTTGCCCTAATAGCGAGCACGACATATATTGGTATCGTCAAGGAAAGTCTGCTGGACGTATCCCGAAGCGCAAATAAGGCCGATTAGTCTTCTTTAGTTAAAGGCAGCAGGAGCCTTCGGACCGGCCCCGAGACCTCGTAGAAATGACAGGCCTTTAATCTGGATACGCCGGTGCCAGAAGACGCTAAGCACCTAGCTCTAGTTACTTTAGTCTTCCCAGAGTCTACTGCCGACGTACCTCAGACAGCGCCGCTACCTCATATTATCCCGTTGCCTCAGAACCTCAGCGTCTCACATCTGCCCTCCACTTCGAATTCCTTGACGGCGTATTCTCAGGACAGCGCGTTAGCCTTTACTATTAAGTATAAAGAGGCACCTAAGTTTCTCGCCATAGCCCAGGAGATCCCTAATGACGTACCGGGCCAGGAATCGCGCGAAACCGACCTCGGCGAGAGCGAGCAGAAGATGTGGATCATAAAGGTCGCCAAGGGCTACACGAGAAGAAGTATAGTACGATAGATTCACAATGCTTAGGGCGAGTTTCTCGACTTAATTAAGAACGCCGAAACCTTAGATATTATTATCATGGTCCTGGGTTACTTATCTATATACCTAACTTTCGTGTCGCTATTCCTTTCGATAAGGAAGATAGGCTTAAATATCTGGCTCGCTATTAGTATGTTATTCTCGTCTACCTTCGCCTTCTTATTTAGCCTAAACGTTACTACCAAACTCGGAGTTCCCGTTAGTATGGTCCTTTTATTAGAAGGCCTACCTTTCCTCGTAGTAACCATTAGTTTCGAGAAGAACATTATCCTTACCCGGGCTGTCCTATCGCACGCGATTAAGTACCGTAGACCCGAGGATAACCCGGCCGATACCGGCAGATCCGGTAAGAAGTCTTCGGCCCCGTTAGATGGAATTATTTATTACGTAGTCTAGCGCGCCATTAGGGATAAAGGCTACGAGATTATCCGGGACTATGTTATCGAGATTCTCATATTAGTTATTAGCGCTACATCCGGTATATAGGATAGCCTTTAGTAGTTCTATTTTCTAGTTACTTAGATCCTCTTCTTCGATTATATTGAACAGGAGCAGCGTAGGCACGCTGACGGAGGCACGAAACAAGGACTATCCAACTGCTAACAACTGGCCCAGTGCCGATCAACCTAAGATCACAGCTGTTAATAGCTGTAATCGGTTGATCAGCTAGCTAAAAACGGCAGCTGGGAAAGGGGACTAGAAAAGGGCAATAGGGTAACTAGAAAGGCATAGCAAGAAACGAGTGAATGGCTGTAGGTCCTAATGTCTATAGGTCTAAGTCTAGCTAATGAAAATATAAGTACACGACCTATATAAATAAATATCGAAAAGGCTACGTAGCCTAGATCTACTATATTACTATAGCCTCCCTAGTTTAATTAATCCGCAAGGAGTAATTAAACTTCCAATAGTAATAGGTACGGTAGCTTTCGTTCCTATTTAACCTAATCCTAATCCCGATTAACCCTAATTAACTAAAAGCTAGCTAGTTTAATTAAAGGCTAACAGGATAAGTTAGGAAATAAGGCTCTAACTAGGAACGATTGCAATAGTAATAAATAAGTAGTAGGGTAAGTAACTATAACCGTACCTAATCCTAAACCTAAACCTAATTAATCTTGAATCTATTTAATCGCTACTAACTAGGAGCTAAGCTAGTTTAATTAACGATTAATAAGAAATAAAAAAGATCTAATAATAAGAATAACTAGGCTAACGGAACTATAACCTATAAACTAACCTAATTAACCTATTCCTAATTAACCTTAATTAACTAGGAGCGAGCCAGGTCCATTAGGGCCATTAAGAAATAATAGGGATCCGTTAGGAAAACAGGAACTATAACGGGCAGGTAAAACAAGCGTAGCTCCCGTAAGAAATAAAGAAAAAACAATCCCATACGATGCAACGTAATCCCGTCCTTCTCGTCCATAACTAGCTTTACCGATCCTTTTAACTGATCCTAATCCTATAAACTAACTAATATTGTAGTAGTGCGGTGGATCTAGGCCACGTAGCCTTTTCGATGTCTATTTATATGGGTCGCGCACTCATATTTTCATTAGTCAGACTTAGACCTATAGATATCACAGCCTATAGCCATTCACTCGTTTCTTGCTATGCCTTTTTAGTTATCTTCGTTACCCGTTTCTAGTCTTCCCTTTCCCAGCTACCGTTTTTAGCTGGCCGATTAACCGATTATAACTATTTATAGCTGTGATCTGGGTTAATCGGTACTAGGCCAATTATTAGTAGTTAGGCAGTCCTTGTTTTCGTACCTCCGTTAGCGTACCTACGCTACTCCTGTTTAGTGGCGACTACCTAGTAGCTCGTCCTTACCTTAGCCTTAGGAGTAACCTTTTACGACCGTTTTTATAGTTATTAGGTTTAGGATACGTCGATCAGGAGATCCCCAGAGTTTCGTTTAATTAGGAGCCGTTTTCGTGGCTCTAGAGCCGTTTTCGTGGCTTTTGGCCTTAGCTTTTTAGGTTAGGTTAGGATTAACGGAAGGGCAGATAACAATGGCGACCATCTTAACAACCCACGCCCTCCCATTAGCTTTTGATTAGCTTACCTAAAAGCTCGTTCGCCGATTAGTAGATTTATCCTATCCTCGTTTCTTAGTTATCTCTTTTAAAGGAGCTGTATCCGTTTTTACGTAGTTTTACCTCCGTCGTTTTTTACTAGTGCCTAGATAGTAGTTTTTCGCCCTTAGTTAATCTAATACCGTTACCGCTACTACCCCCTTTTACAACACGCGCTTAAAGGTAGTTAGTCCTTTCCGATCGGTTTATTTTAATTACAAGAGGCTTGCCGATAGCTCCGATCGCCCTTGTTTTATCCCTTCTAGCTAGTTACGGTACCTAGGGAGGTCTCTCCTTGCCTCCCTAACCGATAAGGTATTACGATGCCCTCATTTACCATACAAAGATACCGATAGACCTTATACCTACGAACCTAATCGGGGTACCTACCGATTAGCGCGAGAGACCTATAAACGATACCGAAACGAACGAATTAAATAGGATATTAAATAAGAAAGCCTAGAAAAAAGAAACAGTCACAAGTTACGGTCGAGAACAGTTACAGTATTACCTAGAGACCCCTCTTGTCGCCCTTACCGATATGTGGTTAGTAGGAAGAGCTAAAGCCCCTAGAACTACGTATAGGGGAGGGATCGAGGGTCAAGGGAAGCCCGGTAGATACTACCGGACGAATAATAGTTAGATATGAGTTAGAAACGGAAATAGTCGGGCATAAACAGGATATATTAATTAGTTTATAGAATTAGGATTAGTTAAAAGGATCGGTAAAGCTAGTTATGGACGAGAAGGACGGGATTACGTTATATCGTATGGGATTATTTCTTTCGTTTCTTTCGGGAGCTACGCTTGTTTTACCTGCCCGTTATAGTTCTTATTTCCTAACTATTAATCCCTATTATTTCTTAATAGCCTTAATGGACCTGGCTTGCTCCTAGTTAATTAGGGTTAATTAAGAATAGGTTAATTAGGTTAGTTTATAGGTTTATAGCTCCGCTAGCCTAGTTATTCTTATTATTAGATCTTTCCTATTATTTTCTATTAATCGTTAATTAAACTGATTTAACTCCTAGTTGGTAGCGATTAACCAGGTTTGGGATTAATCAGGATCAGGTTTAGGATCAGGTACGGCTGTAGTCAGTCACCTACCCCACTACCTACTTATTGCTATTGCAATCGTTCCCAGTTATTAGGATTACCTTGTTTCTTCCTCACTTATCTTATTAGCCTTTAATTAAACTAGGTAGCTTTTAGTTAATTAGGGTTAATCGGGATTAGGTTAATTAGTAGTTAATTAGGTTCAGTAGGAAACGAGAGCCACCGTACCTATTAGGAGTTTAATTACTCCTTACGGATTAATTAAACTAGGGAGGCTATAGTAGTACGGTGGATCTAGGCTACGTAGCCTTTTCGATATATATTTATATGGGTCGCGTACTCATATTTTCATTAGTTAGACTTAGACCTATAGATATTACAGCCTATAGCTATTCACTCGTTTCTTACCATGCCTTTCTAGCTATCCTCATTGCCCTTTTCTAGTCTCCCTTTCCCAGCTGCCGTTTTCAGCTGGCTGATCAACCGATTACAGCTGTTTACAGCTGTGATCTGGGTTGATCGGCACTGGGCCAGTTGTTAGCAGTTGGGCAGTCCTTGTTTTCGTGCCTCCGTCAGCGTGCCCACGCTGCTCCTGTTCAATAATAGTACAAGGTCGTCGGTTTTTAGGAGCTCTTTTCGTATCCGGTAAGCGTTCTTTTCGTTTTAATACCGGATAGCTTCCTTATATTTAGCTACTAAAACCTTAGCTACGGCTAATATATTTTCTTAGCGTTTCTTAATTAGTCGTACGTATATAGCTAAAAGCGATTCTCGGTTCGGGATATTCTTTTAGTTTATAATACGCTAGGTTAGGATAACGGTTTCTATTAGGATAATAGCCTTACGCTTATTATAGTGGAATCCTTAAGCTAGGTAGTAAGTATATTCCCGTAGTAACGTCAATAAGCACTTGCCTTTTAAAAGGATAAGAAGGCGAGTACCTAGCGATAGGCGGTCGCTTATATAGCGAGAAGCGGGGTAAGCTAAAACGGTTACCGCTTAGGAGATATCCTCGTACCGGTATAAGTACTATAGTACCTTGTACCCTCGTACCTATCACGTACCTTCCTATCGCTTCCTTATAATTATTCTCTCCTAAGTTAAGTAGTGAGGAGGAGCAGAGCGTACGCGATACTAGAGACCCGGATATGTTCACTCGAAAGTATACTCTATCGAAGACTATAATACGTACGATAGTCCAGGATAAATGAAACTAATATCGCTATACTAATCGAAAGGCAAGGAATCTAATGTAGTTATCGTATCTTAGCTATACCCCTTAGTCGTAGAGATATAGTAGTCGCTAGCCCGAAGGTATAAGAGGTAAGGGAAGAAAAGGGGTAAAACGTAAAAGTTACTTATTCGGCTATAGCGGTACGACGAAGTAACTTAAGCGCCTATAACTAAGATAGATATATTAATCGGAGAACGACGAATCTAATAATAAAAACGAATCTTTAATTAAAGTAAAAATAATAAAGATAGTAATCTAACTAGGTAATAATCTAAATAATAAGCATGGCATATCCCGTACTTACGGGAGCTATGGTTACTCTATATAGGCATAAGGCCTATCGTAGCGTGTTACGTAATGCATCAAGAGGGCATGTCTTACCGCACTACTACAGTAGTCGTTCCGATTACGAGTCGATATAGTATCGCCCGCGTTATGTTATTAATTCTATTAATTACCCTAGGGTATTAAATACTAAATCGGGCTTTGTTAATATAGCCGGCTAATTCTACCGATTAATACCGTTAACCGTTATTTCCTAGGCGTATATAAAATTTTTCTACCGTTACGCCCGCTTCTTTTAACTTTCTTCCTTTCTCTTATCCGTCGGCTCTCCTTCTTTTCGTTACGTTTATTTATCTTATCCTCTTTTAATTAAATAATTAAATAAGAGTCGTCGACGTACCTTCGTATTATTATTTCTATTCCCTTATTTTATTATTAATATGCTTACGGTACGCCGTTCCTTAATCTCCCTTTTCCTTCTTAAATTAAGCCCGGCGTAGTATAGTCGAAACGCCGTCGTTAATATAGCTTATAACCTACCTACCGAATACGCTACGCCGGTAGAAAATACCGACCTATCGTATATAATTTATTTCCGATATCGCCTAAAGTATTTCGAGATACCGTTCCGCTCCTTATACGTATTTCCTAACGCCGTTTCTTCGAAGTACGGCCTTTATACCTATCGCCGTAAGGAATATATCCCGGTAAGTTATTATTATGGCGCGCGTTCCGGACGCGTTTCGCTAACGTATCGATATAGCTAATTAACG